AAGAATCCACACTTTGGGCTGAAGAAGTGAAGCAAAGGATAAATGTCCATTTGATTTCATTCAATTGCTAAAATTAACTGAATCGGTGGCTCAGACACTGAGCTTCTCGATCAGAAAGGCTGGCAGTTCGAATACCTAGCGCTACATAATAGAGTGAACTGCTGTTACTTGTCCCAGCTTCTGCCAACCTAGCAGTTTGAAAGTATGTAAAAAAAATGCAAGTAGAAAAATAGTAACCACCTTTGGTGGGAAGGTAACTGTTCTGTGTGCCTTTGGCATTTAGTCATGTCAGCCACATGACCAGACACATCTTTAGACAGCGCTGGCTTTTCAGCTTTGAAATGAAGATGAGCACTACCCCCTAGAGTTGGAACAACTAGCACATATGTTCGAGGGGAACCTTTACCTAGTTAAGTTAGATTAATTAAATCAAAGGGTCATGATTTCTTCCCATTCACGCACTTCCTCTTCTGTTGCATTAAAATGTACTGTTCAAGGAGATCTTTCCAAGGTTGTACACAAATTTATGCTTATAAAATTTGGAGTTAATTCTATTGCCCTGATTAATTATGAAAGATAATGTACTATTTCTCTTAGCACATAATTCCTCAGAAATCGCTAAAAAGATTGAAACATTTGATTTACTCCTGATAATTACAGTATAAGGAAAATGAGAGTTTTCAATAGGAGTTGACAGGTCATTTTCATATTAGAAGGAATTAAGCTATTTATTTTAAACTTTAAACATTGTTATTCCTTTGTCTTGCTGTATTATGCACTATATACAACTTTTTTTATGACAATTAATAAACGACATCCATTCATGCAATCCCTGCACAAATGTATAGAAAATTCAAAAGCTTTGGGATAAAACAATGTTTTTGTCTTGACAATCACAGATCAGGCCTTGAAAAGATCCTAGCACAAATCATGAAACAATAATTTCCTTAAAAATAATGTTTCTATCAGACTTTTGTAATTTTGATTGGGTAACTTTATAATGATAGAAATTGATTTGAACACAAGTATTTTAATTTTGGAGAAACATTTGACAAAGTTACCTATAACATTCTGCTTACCAAGCTAATCTTTGGCAGGATGGCAGATGAATTCTTATATTCATGTTATGTTCATTGATGGTTCCTCAGCAAATAAATGAAGTATCAAATAAGTTGCCACAGAACCAGTCCCGTGCGTGGTATTCAGTATTTTCGTAAATTAGTTGCATAAAGTGAGGAATATTGATTTGCAGTTGAGTAGGGTACTAATCTCACAATGGTTCTCTAATTAGAAGAAAATGCTGGAACTCTGGCAAGCTGAAGCAATACATAATTACTGAATCACACAAATAAACATTACATATTAGAATTAGAATAAGGTCATAATAAAATAAAAGGATGTACAAGGAATATGGAGAATGGTTAACAATCTGCATAACAAAATATAATAAAAACTAAAATTTGTACTGATGAATTCAGAATCTATCCCAGGTGGTCTCTTAAAAAAAAACAGGCACTTTTAGTGTTCCACTCTAGGTCAAAAGACTGGAGGGAATTGGAATTTCTCTGCAGAGGTTCCCTCCAACAGAACATCCTCCAAGAAAAAGATGGGCCCCTGCCTTAACTGCCTTCTGTGAAGTCCAGACATCTTTCTCCTGGTTAGTTATAGCAGTTATATGTGAGACAGCCCGCCCACCCCAATTCCTCCAAGTTTACAAGAGGCCCTGGGTAGCACAAAGCAAATTTTGGAAGGTAAGTAGGCTGGGACCTTGCTCATGCTTGGACTATGTGAACCAGTCTAGTTTTAGGAAGAGAATTTTTAAAAAAATATCTGCAAGAAAGCAATAACAAACTACTCAAGAACCAACCACTATCTTTGTATTGTTAAGAAACAATATGGTATGTCTTCAACATCACCAGATACTCCCATCTTTGCTCCCAGAGAACCAATGCTCTCTCTCTCTCTCTCTTCCACACACACACACACACACACCCACACACACACGAGTTGCCAAAACTAACCCACCGCCAAATACTTGCTACTGCCCTTTTGGATTAAAACCAAAAACTTAATCTTGTAACTCTAGAAATTAAAGTTGGAGAGATTAAGAAAAACTATATGCCCAACTTTCTTGGATGGAGCCAAAATCAGTTGATGGGAGAGAACCCAAAAGGCTGCTCACAGATTAAAAAAATAGATAAAACATTAGAAGGCGATGACGAGAATAATCAGAAAAGGGAGGGTCTTAAATTGTGTAATGACCAGCAAATTAATACAGTATCCTAATATAGTAATTACAACAGAAATTCAAGGCCACTTTCTATTTTTTATCTATATTTGCATTTACTCTGCCCACTTTCTCCCTCCAGCAATAACAGGGATTCAAGGAAACTCATCTTGCCTGGAAGTATTATTGCAAAAGCAGCAGCATGGTGGAAAGTGCACTTACTCTTTTATGGAACACTTTTTCAGGAAGCAACAGGACTTTCTTGTTTTACTTTGAAAACGTTTCCCTTC